CATGTCACTAACAAAGATGTTGAACTGGTTCCAGTATATCTGATACAGTGACAAAGGAGATGGCTGGGTACTTGTTACAGCTGGGAAAGCTCAGTGATAGTACCAGTGTGATCCAGCTAAGGAATAGGCACAAATCTGGAAAGGCTCACTTGTGCCTTGCTCCTGTACATTATTAATTTAAGTGTCTATAGTGTGTTGGCTAGACATGGTCACCTCCTCAACGATATGACAGGCTGGTGTGAGCATCACTGCAGTGGCTTCATTCTTCGCAGGAACTTTATCGGGGAATGAACTGTCTTCGTGACAGGCTGAACTTGCCTGAGTTGTCTTGCTGTTAGTGCTTTTGTAGTAACATTTTGCAAAAGAAGTTTGGTGGTGGTGTTTTATTTTTTTTAAGACAACTGAACTGTGTGTGTTATTGGAAGACTTTTATTACATGCTGAAGTTCAGACTTAACCCTGAATTACTATTAAAAGTGGATACTTAACATGTTTATTTTCTCTTTCTAGCCAAGGTACGAGTGTCTAGAATGTCCAGGCATGCACAACAGCTTAGAGACCATGATACAAATCCATGTATAGCGGTAAGATTATCAAATTGGGGTTTCTGTTTGTACGTTTGTGTTAAGTAATGCAACTTCTAGAGGATTTTTTTTTTAATGGATAACATTCTTATAAGTTTCTTAAAGAGTCTAAACATGGGAAAAGCTGAAAGTTATCAGTTATATTAAGTGTGAAATAAAAGTATTTACTCATAAATAAGAATAGTAAACTTATAGCAATCTCTTCTGTTTTCTGTCCTTAAAACCAGAGCCTGAAATCCTGGTTAGACAAGCTTGGTTGATTTTTAAAAGTGTTTTGTGGGTTATACCGAGCATCTTCATAAACAAGTATTCTGTGGACTCTATCCTTACTATTTAAAGGGTACTAATGTCTGTTATCTCTACATGAAGTCATTGCTGATTATCTGTTGTGATAGATGTTCCTCTGCTCTCTTTGATAGTATTCTTTCATCTGAGAAGCTGTCTCCTATCTTCATAGATATTCTGGGACTTGTTAAAATTTTTAGACACTGAGTACAGTAACTTCCCTCAGCTCTGAAGTATGTTTTCCCTGTTAAAGGAAACAGATGCCTCTCTAAAATGTATGGATGACAACAACTCTAACAAGGTTATGTGTACTGATTACTTTTTGAAATACAAAAACTGCAGGAAGTTCTGGGTAAGCTCAGCAGACTTTGTAAATTTTACTCCATGCTTTGCTTTAAGTATGTTACTTCTGACACAATGCTTTCTGAACTCGTCAGACTTAGCTAGTGCTGACTGCTACTGGGTTTGGTGATTAAACAGGCCTGGGTATTCTCAGTATATGTTGCTGGAAGGCTTAAGCAGGTGCACATCAAAGTACTTCACTTGGTTCTCCTAAGTTCATGCTCCTAGACTGTGAGTGTTCTTGCAGTACCTGACGTGTTTCACCCTGAATTTGAGTCAGGTATTTCCAGTAATAAGTTCTGGTTTAAATAGATACAGTGAAAGAAAATCTGATGTGAGTTAAGTTCATCTGTTTTTCCATTGGCTTGGTTGATGTTTACTTTAAGATAAAGCTTAGGAAGAGTTCATTCTTGCTTGGTGGTGTCCTTATTTCCTTCTTTCTTGTGGTAGAAAAGTATCATGAGGAACTATGTGCAGTCAAACTGTTCTCTGCTGTTTTCTTCCTTATGCCGTGGTAGTAAAGAGTCTTTTAGCTTGGCCTTTAAATACTTGTGTAAACTACAAAAAACTATTTACAGTCAACTGCACATCAACCTGATATAGTATAATGGGAATACTGTAATTTCACTGTCTGCAGCAAGGTGAACTATCAGATAACTAAATGTACTAGTATTTAATTAAAGCTATCAGCTAATCAGAGTATCTGGGTATCTTGATGTATCAAGAGTACTTATATTAAAGAATCTTATTCACTCAGAGGCAGAGACATCTGAGAAAGCTGTGTTCTTATGGTCACTTTCTTCTGTTTTTCAGCATGACATCATGATGCAGAGGAGAAGAAATGGTGTGAAACCAGAGATGCCCTCAGCAGAAGAGAGAAGAAAAATGTTGGAATCAATGGGGACACCCTACTGACTAGAAACTTGAATTGATTGACTGTTTTCACTGTACATATGAAGACTTATCAGCAACGAGTTGCCTTTTTATGAACTGGATGTCGCAGTTGTCATATTTTGGATTAAAATGGGCTCTTAAATTTTGAAATGTGTGAGCTTTCTAGGATAGAACTTCTTGGTTTTATTCATACTCCCTGTCATGGGAACTTGGCCTCTCACTGGAAGACATGGGTATCAACACAACTTATGTCTAGACATATTGGAAGTAGGAACTAACTTGCTGCGAAATGCTAAATTTAATGGGACTCGCAGAAAGTCTGTTTGAAAAGGGGCTGTTGAGTGGTGCGGTGTAGTTCTAAGGATGGAGAAGTTTGAGAGACTGTTATGTGCAACATGTTTTTTGTATCCAGCTGTTCTGCCCAATAGCATGGATTTATCATGTGTGATCTTACCACTGTTTTCACAGGAATTGTATTGTGTCCCTGGTTTAAATAAGACTGTTGGTGAACTAAAATCCCAAATCCCAAGCTTGGTGCTAGTTCTGCCACTGTGACATCTGTTAGTTCTGCCATCAGTGACAGCAGAATCTTACAATAAATCAGATCTGCAAGCTTTGCTTGTTACAAGGTTAGAGAGGTTGATGAAGATAGAACTGAACTCGCCAGGTCTGAACTGAATAGTACCGTCTGTGGATAGTAAATAGATACTTCGCTGGGGGTTGGGGAGATGACGGCTTGTAGACATGTAAACATATACTCTGAGTGACATGGCAGGTTTAACTATAGTACATCTATCTAAGACTTTCTGGACAGCTGAAACGCTGGGTTTGGAAATGCTTACTCATACAAGACTACAAAGCTCCGTTTGAACAGGTACTCTAGTCTTACGTAAGGTTGATCCTTAACTAAACTGAACAACTAACAAGTGTGAACAGGTTGCCGTCTAGTGGAAACACTGTTTTGTTTTTACCTCTGATACCTTCTGGTGTCCTGGCTTAAAAGTTGCACCCTGTGGTAAAACTGAAAAACCACTGTCATGAGCTCTGGTTCCGTGTGAAGTCCTTCAGTCCTTCTGCGATCCAGTTGGCAGAACTCTGGCTGACCTCATGGAGGATGGTGTAAAAGTGTCTCTCTATTTAGACTGTTTTGGAAAGACTCATGGCTTCCTGTTTCTTCTTCTGTCTGGCTTGTCTGGTTTCTTTCCACTGGAGGCCTATTTCTATGCTTAGTGGGATTTTTATGCTGCTTCCACCTTCTCCCTTGTTATTTGACCTGACTAGTAGCTAATGGAGATCTACTTTTCCTTCTCTTCTTTCTGTCTGTTTCTTTCATGCCTGAGTGTTGAAATGGATTGACCTTTCTGTTGTTGGAATGAGTGTGTAACACTCTGCCTTTTGAGTATGCAGTTCTCTGAGTGTAGCTGTGCAGCCTCCAAGCCATGTCACAAGTTCTCTAGGCAGTTCCTTGCAAGGGAAATAGACTTTCTTCAATCAAGATCTTCACATTCTTTATTTTAAATTAATTTCTCTGCACTTAAAATCCAAATTTGCTGACTTTGTGTGTATGGAACAGAGAAGAAACTTTCTTTGTAGATGCAAAAGCTGTTTCTTGTTCACCACCTTCTTCCAGTACCTTCCTCCATACCAGCCTTCCTTTTTTTTTCTCTCCTCCACTTGGCACCAATTCCTTTTTACTGATTTGAGCATTTTAGTCTGGTACTATTCCAACTGTGTGTTTTCTAGTAGCTTTGTGTCTCTGATCAAAATGATGTCGACCTGCAATGACTTTTGAACACAGCTTCTCTTTAATGTCTTGTGTTCTCCATTCTCCTCCTCTCAGAGGAGAACTCCTCGCTTTCATTAGTCAAACTTAGCCATAATACTTCCTCCTTGGCCTTGCCTCTGGTTGTTTTTCCTGTTCAGTGGCAGTTTTGGGGTAGCTGATTGTCCCCTTTTCCTTAGGGCTCTGTCTGGATTATTTGGGGTTTGCTGCTTTGCTTGTCTAAGGGCACCTTCTCTCCTACTTGGCACAGGTTTGTCATTTGGCGCCTCTGCTGTATCTTTGGGCATGCTCTTTGCTCCAAGGGCTTTAGCTACTATTCTAGTGCTTGCTGTTTTCCTGTTGCTGTGATCTTCTTTTCTGGGCTCACACTAAAGTCTACTGCATCTTTTAGTTCTATGACAAAACCCAGCATCTCCTCTTGATACGATTATGCCAATTCTGCCTTGCATAAGCTTAAGTCACGTAAAGTCACCTCATCTATCCTGGGTTTTCCTCTCAAGTTTTGAGTGTAGAAATGCCCTTTCTCCTAGGTTAATTGTTGCATTTACAATTTTTTCCTGCCAGTATTTACTTGGGAAGCTTCCGGTGGTTTTGTTTTCTTTTAAAGGATGATTGACTTCTCTTTAAACTTCAATAGATACCCTGTACTGCTTTGTTAGTGTTTGTAAAGAACTAGTACTGGGCTTCATAAAGACAGAAAAGGAGATGCATTCCCTGTTTTTGGGTATCAAACAGTGCAAAGATTTGGGATCATGGGACCAGCTAAGGCACATGGAATGCAAGAACAGCTTTCCAATATTAGACTTCATGATCATCAGTGGATGTACATGGTAAGCCTCCTGCATGACAAAAATGAGTGTGTAGTGAAGAACTGAAGGCTATTTAACCACTGACCTTGTGGTTTTAATTCAGGTAATCAGCCATCCATGATAAGGAATGCCATTTATTCAATTTTTTCCATCACATATGCTTTACAGTCACTGTTAAAGAAAACCAACTTTATGAAGAGTCTTGGAAAGCAAGAAGTTTTCTTCCTCGTGTCATAATGCCTCTCGAGTGTAATCCATTAGTTAAGTCTTGAGGTTTCACTGTTTCCACCCCTCCCTCACTGGATGTTGCTGCTCGTGCTTTCACAGCTGAAGCTCCGGAGTGGTAAGTTACGACAGCTAAAACATAGGCTGAACTGGTTGGGTTTTGCCATTAATTTTTGTAGCGTGATTAGCACCCTATGAGGCAAAGGTAGTGGGCTCTTCCTCACACCTGAGAACTTGTATTCCACACCTCAGTGAAACACAGGTAAGCTGTAGCCTGCCACTCTCACTGGGCTGAATTCTTAGTTTTGCGCTAGCACGCTTTTGTGTGCTGACCCAGGGAACATAACACAATGGACTAATTCAGAAGCAGAGAAGAGACTTGTGGGTTTTGTTTTGCTGAATAAGTGTAATTCTTCATTTTGCTTGTGGTACAAGGACTGGATCTGGACAGTGGCACTAGTGTTTCATTTTTTTTGTTTGACAGCTGGATGGTGCTGTTGCACAACAGACTATGAAAACAGAGTCACTCCACCCACTACTGGCTCTTTAGAGCTCTTTTAGCTTCTTCCCGTAGAGATAGCAGAATTCATGCAGGAGAAAGGGATGATTTGGTGCTGCCTCTACACAGTAAACAGAAGAGGAGGAGAAGAGTCTAAATTGCTGCTGAAAGTTTCTGTGCAACCTGAGCAGCTTTGTAATACGGTCCTTGAAAGAGAGTTTTTCACTGTGGTCATTTCATTGCAGCAGCCACAGGTGCTCTGCCAGGCACAGGTGAATATCCAGACTGTACATTTTACCATCTTTTCTCATTACCCTACAGCGCAAGGACTTTTTATTTGGTGCTGGAAGCTTTCTTCTGCCACAACTGGGATGAGTCTGTGCTCTTTAAGGTGTTAGAAGAAAGTTTTCGGGACTCTAGGACCTAGGTGACCTCTTTGGGTTTAACAGCTGAAGCTTTAAAGGGCAGGCAGTTGCATATGCTGCAGCTCCAAGACCATTTCATGGTCTCTAGTAAGACTTGTGCACTTGTGTGACCATATGGGGAGGTTTCCCTAAAACTGCTGCACAACAGGTAGGATAAATTCAGATTATACAAAGTTACTCTGACAATGTTTTTGGAGGCAGCCCTTAACTCATGCTAAAAGTATTTGCATCTTCAAAATCAGTCTTCCAAAATAGCTATGAAGAAAAAAGTAGTTGTAGTATGAAAAACATTGGGAAGAATAGTACACTATTGAAGGCTTTTATTCTCTTGCAAGAATTTGAGGCAACTGTAGGAAATAGTTCCATAAGTGTTGTATGAAAAACATTGGGAAGAATAGTACACTATTGAAGGCTTTTATTCTCTTGCAAGAATTTGCAAGAGAATTTTCCTACAGGCAACTGTAGGAAATAGTTCGATAAGTGTTAAAGTAGTAAAAAGTAAAAAAGCATATTACTCGGAGCTTTTTAGTTTTTATTGCAGCCTATTTGATACTAATAATGAAATCTATACTGACTAAATGCAGTGGGTCATTAAAATAAAACCTTAGTATTTTTTTTACTAACCAGATTTTGAATAAGTAATTTCTCTCTATCCCTTAGGTTTCTACCTTGATGCTTCTTATCTCAATCCTTTTGTGAGGATTTTCAGTTTTAAAGCCTTCAGTGTAACAGCCCTTAATTGAGAGATGATTACGTTCCTTTTGACAACTGAGTACAGATAACTTGAAATTCCTTTGCAACCAGGCTGAGAGAGTTGGGCTTGTTCAGCCTGGAGAAGAGAAGGCTCTGGGGACACCTTATAGCACCTTCCAGTACCTGAAGGTGGCTACAAGGAAGCTGGGGGGAACTTTTTACAAGGGCCTGTAGTGACAGGACAAGGGGGAGTGGGATTAAATTGAAAGCGGGGAGGTTTAGATTGGATGTAAGGAAAAAATTCCTCACTGAGGGTATGTGTATCTACGTAAAATGCTAATGAGGTAGCTAGTGGAAGCAGGTCCTTACATGTGTTTAAAGTTCTGGTAGCCCTTTCTCAGAAAGGTTTCCAGTCTCACTTGTATGGAGGTGCATCATGTTTAATTCAGGCTGTCAGCTCCTTGAGCAGCAACCTGCCACTTCCTATTAGCCCATAGAATGCTGTACACAGCTGCGGCACTGGAGGAACAGTAGTTGCTTAGACTGAGAGCTATGACAGATGTTCATATCTTTCTGATGCTGAAGTC